ACCTCTGATGCTCTTTAGTCACCATCCTCTGCTCTAACAACTACTTCAAGCTCCTCTGATCTGTCCCGATTATAAAGTGGCACCCTAATAGAAAGGAAGTCACTTCTGAATGGCCAAGACAATAGCCATCAACTCCCGCTCATATATGGACGTCATGAGCACATGGCTAAAATAGGCAATAGGTCGTTGGTCCTGCATGGATACTGCCCCTAATCCATATCCTGACATATCTGTCTCTGCCACAAATGGCCTACATGGGTAATACCCCCAAATTTTAAAGGCTTGTGTTGCTTCCCTAAACTTAAAATTGTCTTCCTTCTCCATCAGCGACCATACAATAGTGTCATACCCTCATGAATTTCTGGTAGTACTCGATGAGACCTAAGAACCCTCTCAACTCCTTCAAGCTCCTAGGCAAAGACCAGTCTAATATAGCCTTAATCTTAAATTGGTTCGCTGCTACCCCTGCTTTGATCACCGCATGTCCTAGGTTCTCCATTTGTGACTGTGCAAAGGAGCATTTATTTATGTTGGCATACAACTGATGCTCTCTCAAGTATCTGAAGTACTGTCCTCAGGTGTCCTATAAGATTTGCATCTGTACGACTGTAGATCATATGTTATAAAAAAGTACCACGACGAGCTGCCTGAGGTAAGTCTGAAAAATCTTGTTCATGTGAGACAGAAAAGTGTTGGAGGTTGATAAACCGAATGACATCACCAAAAACTCATAATATCTTTCACGAGTCCTGAAACTATCTTGAGCACATTGGTTGGTTTCATCCTGATCTGATGTATATCGACTTTAGGTCAATATTCGTGAAGATGAATACTCCAAAAAACTCATCTAGCATATCATCAACCAACGAAATAGGAAACTTGTTCAATACAGTTTCCTTATTCAGAGCAATACAATCCACACAAAACCTCCAGCTGCCATTCATCTTCTTCACAAATAAGACTGGACTGAAATAAGAGCTCATGCTGGGCCTGGTAATCATTGCCTCAAGCATCTCCATGATCAACCTTTTTATCTTATCCTTCTGGATCTGGGGATAAAGGTGTCGTCTAACACTGATAGGAGAAACCACTTCCTTCAATATAAGGACATGCTTGTACTCCCATAATGGTTGTAACCGTCAGGCTGCTAATAGATGTCAGAAAACTACTGCAGAAACTGCTACACTCACTCAAGAAACTCTACTAACTTTGGATATTGAATCTCCTCTAGACTTTGCAACTCCACCAAATAACTCAATCTTACTCCCAATATCATCTTGATCATGGCTTTGAGTGAGACCCTAATCTCCATAGTTAGAGAACCATACTGACAAGCTACATTCTCTATCAACACCACCTTCCTCCCATAGTTAGGGATTTCCAATCCAACCCCTACTCTTCAATCAACTGTAACCACCATCCTCATAATCACATCAATACTTCCCAAGACCAAGGGAAGAAAGCTCTCCGCCACATGTATGTTTATAGTGTCAACATAGATCCCCGACAAATTTCATGTATTTTCTCCACCTTTCCTGTCTCCATCATGGCCCAAAAAATTCTCGTATCTACCAACTTCAACCGCAACTGATCCACGACTAGATTTCAGTTGTGCGTGACCCCACTATCCACCAACATCACTAAAGTCTTCTCCCTGATCTGTCCCTCACCTTCATGGTGTGATTTTGAGTAAATAACATTGAGGGACGCCTCTATTAAATCAAGGTGTAAGTGCTCCTCTATCTCCACCGCTTCTTTCTCCAACTCCTCACCATCTGTCTCCTCCCCATCATAAATAATAGTGATTTGGAGCGTGCGATCCTTGCACCTATAGCTTGGTGCATTCTTCTCATCACATCAAAAACATAATCTTTTTACTCTTTTGTCCTGCTCCTCTGCTCCATGAAGTGCCTGAAATTGACTCCTAGATGAGCCGCACATTCCTATCCTTCGGCGCCTCCCTCTGAGATGACATCGTCTGGGTTGTCATTGACAGAGTCTTCAAGGTACACTTGTGAAATCCCTCATGGAAATGCTTCTGTCGGTCCTCTCAATCCAGTTCTTATCTTCCACCATCCAAGCTCGCTTCATCGTCTCAACTAATCCCCACAGTCTCAACAGTCGGAGGGTTGCACGTATGTCGGGCTTTAGACCCTTCATGCGATTCCCTTCCAATACTACTTCAGAAATTCCCCTCAGCCGTCTTGATAATAGCTCAAATATATCCTTGTACTCCATGACAGTCCTCTCCTGAGTCAAGATAAGGAATTATTCGTGTAGGTCACCTTCGCGAATAGCTCAAAATGGTTTTAGCAAGCAATCCTTAAATTCATCTCACAAGGAGATCGAATATTTAACTGTCCTCCACTGAAATCATTCTAGGGTTTTCCCCTCCAAACATAACCCTACATCCATCAGCTTCTCCTTTAGCCCATTCACCACAAAATATTGCTCCACTCGATAAACCCAACCATATGCGTCTTTCCTCTCGAGGATCGACATTTCAACTTTCTAATCCGAACATCTCTACCCCAAATCCCTCTTTATCTGGTAATTCCCACATGTATCTAGAGTAAAAATCCCTCATTCAATCATAATCATACCCCATCCCGATTTCTCTCATTCCTTCTTTGTACTCCTCCATACCTCCTGCATAACCCAATGCCCATATTTCAACCCAAACCCCTCCATCGGAAATCCCTAATTCACCCCCCATCGAAATCCTATAGGAGATTTTTGATAGTGGATACTCTCCCCCTCATGTTCCTCTTGTACGATCTATTTTCCTTCATATTTGGCCAAGAGTTCTCCGATCAAACCTTCGTTAGGTTTGTAATTTGAACCATCGACAGAGTTTTGGATTGCGTCTCAATAAGCATGCTCATCATCTCCTCCAAGCCCTCAAATCAATTTTTCATGGAGGAAAAACTTCCTTCTATGGTTGAAAACCTTCCTCAATCCCGAATTTAATTTGACCTACTTCTCCTTCCAATCTCTCTTCCAAAGCACCTACTTTCCTTGCTGTCATCTCTCCACGATCTTGCTCTGATACCAATTTGATATGAATTAGAACTAAAATTAGTAAACAAAATGCAAGAAATATGTTGGAAATCCCAAATTATGACTAATTTGATTAATCTCCAAGCAAATAAACAAGACACAATGGGTGATCTATAATTTAATGGTAGATCAACTTTCCACAAACCCTAGGCGTCAATAGCAACAAGAAGACAGAGAAAACTGTAGAAATCAAAACATGAAAATAAACCGTACCCTCCCTCCCCTCCTCCCAAAAAAAAAAAAACCATTCAAACTTTCCCTCTAACCCCCCTTAATTCCTCTACTCGATACATGATTAGTGGCTTAATGGGCCCCACCAGGGGGCTAGAATCTTCCCATGAGAAAACAAAGGGTTTCCACTCCCCTAGTTTGGGTCGTCCGATTAGCTCAGGCCAGTCTAGGCGTAACAACTTGTTCTATTTTTTAAGTTTGATTAATGTAGTTTATATTGGTGTGAACTCTTACTATTTTAACAATGCAATGATTGTGATTGCTTGTGTGGCGTGAACTCTTGCTAGTAATGAATTGTTTGTTGTATTAGACATTCTATTAGTTTCAATGATAGGCAGTTTCCTTGCTTATTCTTTTGAAGTTGCCCAAGAAGGAAACATTAGTAGGATGGATGTGATTTTAAGCCATTCACCATTCAGCGTGATACCTTTTTTATATAATAGATGTTTTATTGGGAGAGTTTGTACAAAAAATTTTGATTAACCTAAAATTACACCAAGGTATTTACTTATGCTTACATTCAGGGAGATCGGCCACTGTACACCTCCATCTATGCAATTAGCCAACATAAACTCATCATCATTTAAATGAGCACATCATCACCAATGGGCTCGAGAGGTCAACACAATCAGCCATCATTGTTACTTGATTTGACCAAGTAATGTATTTCAACAGTTATGCATGAACATACTAATGAAAAGGTAGAAACACATTTCGATCTTGTTAGGGATGTGTGTGTGTGTGTGGATATATATATATATAACTCTTTAGTTGAGAGACTTTGTAATTCCCTTGGTCACAGGTTCGATCCCGCCTACATGTGGAATAAAATTGTTAGGCACATGTGGTTGGTAGGGAGGCTCACCTAATAGTCTCTGACCAATCTTTTAAATATATATATAACAAAAAATGTTAGTCAGATTTATTTTAGAGGCATTCATATAAATACCACATAATTCTTATGTATGTACATATCTTACACTAAACTTACATATTTACATAACACTCTATTCTTTAATATCACATTAAAAATACCACTATCAATAACTTTTTAAAGTGAAGCACACATTTTCATGCATAGTTTTATGACACTATGATGTTATAAATGCAAATATCAAACTTTAGGTGTTAGATATGTAAATAAATATAAATTGTGTGGTATGTATGTAAATTTCACTTTAATTTTTTTTTTCTGGTTATCCAATGTATGTAATACATGATATTTCAAAGTTCTAGGTAGAGTAGATTTTAAAACTTTTGCACATAAATATCTTCTGATTTGAGGTTTGTATATTGTATATTTGTAACTCAATATTTTCTCAAGAACTGAAAAAGTGTACTAGGCACGAAGTGATTAGCTACAAAATGGTAATTTCTAGTGCATATTTATAGCAAAACTTTATAATGAATAAACATCCACCAAACCTAGATATGTAAATATAAAGGGGGAATTTACATACATAGTACACAACTCTTCTATATTTACATTTCACAGCTAAATTTTTTTATACACACATAGCACTCAAATTTTTAATATCACATAAAAAATAGCACTATTCAAAAGCAAAATACACAATTTCATGCATCGGTTTAAAACACCAAAGCATGTAATTAAGTGTAAGGTATGTAAATACAGAAGAATTGTGTTACATATGTAAATTTCCCAAATATATATCTATATTTAAACTGCAGCAAGGTAATCTTTTTACCTATTATTGCTGATAGGGCCGCATGTGGATCTTCTAGTTGTTTGTCATACGAAATCAACCTGGCAGATCTTTTCTCTGATTTTCTTTCTTGGGAAACAATGTAGCCACTTTCTCTCCATATGTTCCTCCTCTTCTCAATGGAAAAAGCAGCTTTTGCACATATTCCAGGCATAAGAGACAAAGGTATGTCACCACCAGAAAAATTAAAAGCTGCTGGATTGCCATCATTTTTATGTAAACCAAAACGATATCTAAATCCTGACTCAGATTTAAGAGATGATACATCGAATGACGCTGAACTCGGCACTTCCCAGTATGTTCCATTCCTTGCAACATACAGTTCTGGCCATGCTGCTTCCAGTGTTACATCATGTTTGGGAAGCTGTAGATAGAAAATAGTTAGCTAAAATACAATAATGGTACGGTAATGAGTAAAAAACAAAACCCAATGTGAAAGAAGAAGAAACCAGCTAAGGAGCAGAATTACAAATCAATAGATAAAGAATGAAAAGAAGGAAAGGGTACAAGGTTTCAAAATGATGAAACTAAAGGAGAAACAAAAGAAATGAGGCTAGTTTAGAAGAGCAATATCATGCCATTATGTTTAGGTCTCATTTGGTTTCTTGTAAATAGACGCATGTTTTCAAAAATGATGATTTAATTTTCATTCAATCCGTGCATGAAAAAGAATTCATTAAATTTGAGCTGTTTGAAAGTGTTTATAGAGTTTAAAAGTAGTATAGAGCTATAAGCATTTCCAACAAAATGATGTAATCCAATAAATTCACCATTTTGCAAACGAAGTTTCCTAATTTCAAGCAACCAAATGTGACCCAAATGGAAAATAAAGCCAAGATAACATATGAACTTAGCAGAAAAACTAAAATATACTTGAAAATAACAGTGTTTGATAAAATTAACAATTACACCAATCCAAATTTCAAGTACACAATCAAAAGAGATAAAGTGAGAAAATTAGAAATAACCTTGTGAAAAAGTACGACTTTCGAACGAGGGGCCTTCCTTTCACCATGTTTTTCAACATTAAAAAGCAAGGATGTATCATCTGACAGAGAAAACTGTGAAAAAAAACCAAGTGCGTATAGGGATTTGTCCACAAAATGTTTTCCAATTTCTTTGAATATGGATAGATCCGAGTACTCAGTACTTGATAAATCCTTCTTGATACTTGAAATCAGCTTCCTTGGACGAAACTGCCCCACTAATCCAAACCACCTTAAGAGCATCTTATGTAGGTCAGAAAGATTCATGATGGAATAAACCATTTAGAGAGAAGTTAAAAATCAAAAACATGAGTTGAGTTTAGAGGAACTTTTAGTAGAATATATACAACATTTAAGGAATGAAAATTAACAACAAAATTATTACAATCAGAATAAAACAAGGATTACTAAGGTAGAAACAATGAGTCCATGGATTGGTAAGATAGAAAGGACAAAAAGGAAGAGGAACTCGGCACACAATTGGAGAAAGGGAGACCAATGACATGGCTGGGCTTTATAGATAGGAGGTGAATTTGTTGGGTGTGAGCTGAGTTGGATGCTATAAGCTGGGGCAAAATTTATGGGCTGCTGGGCTGTAGGCATTTTCACACTCACCCTCTAGCAAATAAATGGTTATTATACCTTTCAAGTTTGTCCGATAAATTTTAAAAACTACCTCTAGTAGTTGTTTGGTGATAATGTCCGCAAAATGTTAGATAGTGGTAATGAACGGATTACAATTAAACTATTGTCCAGCTTCTCTTTAATGAAATGCTTGTTTAAAACTTCAAAAACTTAGTACAGTCATAATTGACCAAGTTATGTGCAATATATATGGTTGACTTCATATCACAAAATAACCTAATGGAACCTTTCCATTTAACTTACCTTTTAGAAAAAAATTGTCATAGTAATTCGTAAATTCTTAGTGTTATAGACGTAAATTTTGCCTTTGCATTGGATCATGCCACTACATTTTATTTTTTACTTGTCCAAGTTACAAAATTGCCCCCTACAAAGGCACAGAATCCTGAAGTTACAAAATTGCCCCCTACAAAGGCACAGAATCTTGTCCAAGAGGAACTCGGCACAAAATTGCCCCCTACATTGGATCATGCCAACCATAGAAACTGCATAATCTGAATCTGTGCAAACTTTAAGAGTTAGATCCTCACCATTTTTTAATAAAATTCTTTTGCCTAAGGTTTCATTTCAGATATTATAAAATGGATATATTAATTTCAGATATTATAAAGATGGATATATCGCCTGAAGATATAATTCTTTAGACTTGTATATGAATTAACTTACCATATCAATAACATAAGCAAAAACAAGTATGGCATGGCATATGTAGATAAGGCTTCCCAAAATTCTTTGATAAAGGCCATTTCTACTGCTAAGCGAGTTATGTGCAGCATTGATGGTTGATTTTCATATCACAAAATAACTTCATAGAACCTTTCCATTTAACTTCAAACCTTTTATAAATTTTTTTTGTCATAGTAATTCATAAAATCTTAGCGTCGTAGATGTAAATTTGCTTCTGTATTGGATCATGCCACCACATTTTATTTTTTACTTCCTCCAAGTTATGAAATTGCCCCCTACAAAGGTGCGATATCCTGAAGTTGGCCTCATTTCAATCATATAACCTGCATAATCTGAATCTATGTAAACTTCATTAGTTAGATTCTCACCATCTTTAATAAAATTCTTTTACCTAAGGTTTTTTTTTCAGATATTATAAAATTTGATACATTGCCTTAAGATATAATTCATTAGGGTTGTATATGAATTGACTTTCCACATCAATAACATAAGCAACATCAAATACGGTAAGGCATAATTAGATCAGTCTTCCCATAAATCTTTCACAGAGGCCATTTCTGTTATGTTTCATAGAGGTTCTCTAAATTCATGATTAAATTCCAATGAGCTCTCAACAAATATCTTATGTATTTTTATAATGATATAAAGATTCAACGCCAAAAGTGTGCAACTTCAGTGGAAAAGAAGTACCTTAGCTTACCTATATATATATCTATATATATTTATATATTAAGATCATTATTAACTGCTACTGATTAAAAACTAGCTGCAGTGACAGATTTAACATAACTAATCCCATAACTTTTGTTATTCTAACTTCATAAGTTTCTAGCGAGCCATCAAATTTGTATTTTATAATAAAGGTCCATCTAAATCCCATTGATTTTCATAATTTTGGTAATGTCACAAATTCCGCTATTATTTTTTTTTCAAAGGGTTTCCATATCTTCCATTATAGAATTATTCTAGTTGTATTACTTAAGAGTCTCATAGATAATATTAGGGACTAAATAGTATGGAGGCTAGTATCAAAGGATTGGTAACTATGAGAAAGATTTTGGTGTGATAAGAATAAATGAAATGAATGTTCATTAGAGTTTTCTGTACTTTTGTTTAGAGGCCATTGATTCTCTAAATCGATTAAATGATGGGGATTGATTGGGTTGACTAGAATTTGTGTTGATTGAGATCTCTTCCTGATTGAGTAAATTTGTAATGGCCAAGTAAAGGGTGCACAATGTGCTTATGGTTTCATATTGATTTGTATACAAGTGGCTTGCTCTGAAATATAGTTTTTTGTTAGGATAAAACGTAGAAAGAGAAATTTAAGGGGGGGAAAAATTTAATTTTTGAATGATATTTTCCTATTGTAATGATTATCACTAAACCAGAAATCATTTGTCCATAAAAGTGACATTAGCAAATACATACACCTGTCGAGTGGAGTACTAACATTTGTAGTTTTTTTTTAGTACAAGAACAGCGAATAAGAAAAAATTAAATACTCTTGGATCGAGTTGTTTTCTTTTTTGAAATGTGTGAGAACAGATGCAACAATTTCAATTTGTTTTAGAAAAAGGTTGTTTGAGATGTTGAAGCAAAGCGATAACTTAGTTAGGATTTATGTAGGACTTTTTAACTCAAGGAACTTGTAGGTAAGTGATTTATAATATAAGCAACTATTAAAACAACGTCCTTCCAATATTATTTTAAAATATTTTTTTAAAAAAGCAGAGCTCTTGTGAAAGTAAGTAGGGGGCAACTCTTTAGTTAAAACATCCTATTTTGTTGGCATGTGTATATAAAAGGGGATTCATCTATTATTCTTTTTTTCATGAAAATATGAGAAAGAACACGGTTGATACTATCGAATCCGCCTCTCTTATTTTGACTCCAAATTAATTTTGACCATGTTGAAAAAAGTATAAAAGATGATACTTATATCACTAATGATTTTCTATAAAAAGATCCAAAATACATCGGTGCAAAAATCGATAGACGACACAAAACACAAACCCCAAACAAATTAGTGGTAGATGGAATGTCCCTATATTTTATCATGAATGAGACAAAAAAGATTTTAAGTTCTTGTGTTATTTATTAGATTACTGGTACGTTTGTGCTTTGCTAACTTACAAAAATCATAATAAAACTCTTCAATATTAATATTTAATATTTTTTAGTACAACAACAACAAAGGCTTAATCCCACTACGTGGGGTCGGCTACATAAATCTTTTTTCTCCATTGCGTCATATTTAGTACATGCTGATCAAAATGATTCATGTCATGATTTTTCGACAAAATTTAATATTTTTTAGTAATATATAAAATATAGTTTTACAATTAACAAAAAGATAGATGGTTAAAATATCGGTGTTGAAAATATTTTTTTTTTTCTATTTTGGGTTTAAAAATTTAAAAAATGAAGGATAACATGATAAGTTATAGTGAGCTTCTTTGATCATTAGATTTATCAAAGTGGTAGAGACTATTTTTTTCTTTAGTACCGTGTACCCTATTCTTAAAATATACACATTATGAAAGGTGAAATACAACATTGTATTTTAAATCTAAAGTTAGCTTTTGAATTAATATTTGATTCACTATCTCCCTCCCTCCCTCTTTCTTTTTGGATTAAAAGACATATAGGTGTCAGCTATTTCATGAATCATCAAGTTCCATGATCAAGCCAACACTATAGAGTCATGTTCATCCCAAACATTGATTATGGGATTGTCTTGCTTATGTTTTCTGTCAAGGGCCCAATTTCTTTTTTCTTTCAAGATGTAAGCAGATTGTAACCACTTGAAAGAACTATTTTCATTAAATGATATGCTAAATGGATGCTGAGTAATTCTCCGCTTAGATTTGGGTTGGCGGGTTAGTTCAAATGAGCCAAAAATTAAGGGAACATGTGTATTATTTTGAATCATGGAAAGAGAAATTGTGGTGGTAATTGGTTGCAAAGAGAAAAAATAAGTTTGCAATGATGAAGGTTGCAAATAGGAGAATAAGGTGGAAGAAAGGAGAGCTACAATAATGAAAGCTTGCAAGTTTTAAGCAACACAATAATGACGGATCCAGCAAGATAAGGATAAAAAAGAAAAAAAAAACATAGCTCTGATACTGTAATAAAAATTGGAGATAATTGGTTGTGTATTTTACTTCATCATTTATGCTGAATTTATACAGTTTAAAGAAACATCTAATAGGAATAATGCAGCATTTAGAGAATGAAAATAACTACAAAATTAATTACAATTACATAAAAACATAGATTGGTGAGGTGCAAAAAATGAGCCCATGAATTGGTGAGTTGCAGGGACGAAAAGGAAGGAGAGCTCCGTGGACAGTCAAAGAAAAGAAAGACCGGCTGCATGGTTAAGCTAACAACTTGAAGGTGGATTTGTTGAGCTTTGGCTGGATATGCTATAATGAAATAAGCTAGGGCAGATTTTAAGGCATGAGTTGCGGTGACCCGCGGCAGAATTTTCCTGCATTTTCACATAATCCTTCCCCTTGTCATAACGAAATAAGCTAATTTTTTGTTAATGAGATGAATTGTGCAATTTTCTAGCAATTTAAAAAAAAAATATCAATGCCATTGAAAAATTTTTTTACAATGCCAGGGAATTGTGTAGTTCACTAGCAATGCTATGATATGCTATGCTATTCAGTTTAATGCCATTAACGAATTGTTTAATTCTCAATTTTACCATGCAAGAAACATTTAATCTCCATTTTCCTGCATTTAGCTGTACTCCAAATTTGACAATGTATGAAACAAACAGAAAATTTGGAAGACAATGATAATATCTGAAAAATTGCAACCCAAAAGGTGCTCAGATTGAATATTCTCTAGATTACACCCAATCTCAATGGCTTAAAACCAAAAACTCATAATCGCCATAAAATGTTCTAAATTTCTATATAACACTTCATATGTTAATTAAAATAGCTTTGAACTAAACACATACATTGCATACAAGTCACTAGTATCAGAATAGCATCTATATCAACAAAGTTACTCAAAAAACACTGCACAAACTTCCTGGATAGAAAGATGGCATTTACTGCTAATTTCTGCAAAACACATCATCTCTGATTACTCAGATCAGCCAAATCTACGCCATAAACTTTCTAATAATCGACAATAGCTGACGACTTACATTTTCGAAAACTCTGGGGCAAGGAGGAGAGACTGGAGGGAGAAGGAGCCCAGCTCTTTGTGAGGAGTGGGGGAAAAGCAGGGAATGATGCCTAATGGGAACACATGGCGTAGGAAGGAGAATTGCTGCGGCCGAACAGTGCGGCTTGCTCGCGCGGTGGACAACGGGGCCGGCTCGCCGGCGACGAAGCGGGCGGCGCCGTCAAGTGTTTGCGATGAGGCAACGTTAAGGTCCCAGAAAGCTGCGTCCATTGCTAGACGGAGGCTAGCCATTTCTTTGGATTCTCTTCTCCTGCCCTCCCGAAAATACTCTCGCCCTGCTTGTTCTGTGTGACTTTTATCTTCGAGTGTTAGCGGTCGGTGTTCGGTAGCATGGGATTTAGTCATCAATTTTGCTTAAATCTAATTAAAACTCTTTCCATGCGGTGTACGTAGGACCGATCCTGCGGTCAGGATATATTTTGGTGTGTCTTATCTAATTTTTTTTAAAAAAATTCAAATATATCATGACCGTAGATCACATGACTGGTCCGTATGCAATAATTTCTCCCCGAAAATACTCTCGCCCCGCTTGTTCTGTGTGACTTTTATCTTCGAGTGTTAGTGGTCGGTGTTCGGTAGCATGGGATTTAGTCATCAATTTTGCTTAAATCTAATTAAATATAAAAAAAATTAAAATTAAATTAAATTTTCCATCAAATTAAAAAGTTCATGATCCGACATTTTTTCCTGCATTCCATCTATTTTAGGATATAAATCTAAATTTAGTAAACAGATTTAAGACTTTATTGCTGCAGTCACTCCGTTTGCACTGCTAGTTATGTAGGATTGTCACAAGAAAGACTCTAAAGCTAGACCCTAAACTCTAGAAATAGAAATGATAGAAATGAACTCCTATAAAAATGAAGTCAACAAATGAACCCTCAATGTGTGTAGTGTACTGAACAAATCAAACATAAATATTAGCATTGACCGAACAAACCAACAAAATCCAAAGAATATTCAAGTAATAATACTTAGATTCGACTAAAAGTTTGAATTTGAATTAGAGCAAGATGGATTCAAGTTAATTTGGATTTTTTGCTGGGAAATTTCAAACAATAAATGCTTAAGGGGAATTATGTTTGAGAAAAATTAAGAACTCCAATAGGGAAACTCGAGCAAAAGAAACTTAAAGAGAGAGTGATTTGGAATTTTGAAATTTTACTTTTCCCTTTTTTGCCTCATTTCTGTCCCAACCACTCGGATTCGGGTCATTCGGTCATCTTTCATGACTTGGTCGGCTTTGGTCTTGCTTGCTTTGGCTCAGAGGGTTGTACATAAGTAGGTTTCTTAGTTTTCTATTAGTTGTTAGGAATTATAATAGAAAATAATTTATTACTATAATAAGTTATGAGGAATAAATTATTTCCTTAGATTAAGGAGATATTTCTTTTCCTAATTTATATTTATTTCCTTGGATTAGAAATTATTTGTTTTCCTATTTTATGTTATTTTTTATATCTCTTAATAATTAATATGAATTGATTATTGGAGATATTATGTGATATATCTTTCCTTTCATATCATTTACTTTTTATTATTTTTCCTATTATAGAATTTTTGTAAAGGTTATTTATACCCTCGTTCATATCAATGAAACAATCAAGTATTCTACTTTATTCCTCATTATTTTGAATTTCAACATGGTACCAGAGTCTAATTTCGTACTCTAGCCATCAGTCTTCCTTTGAGAATTATCGGACTCCCTTCCTACCATCCGCTATGTGGGAAGGGAGGGGCACTCATCTTGGTATTTGAAACATCGATTTTTTATTCTTCTCTCTCCGAATTTCGAAACCCACGTCGATTTTGTGGACCCTTAGGATAACGCGATACAGTCGCAATTGGAGCTAGCTAGCAAGTCAACCACGGGATCGCGGTGTATGGAGACCACCGTAACTCCATCTTCCTCCTCCTTCAGCTACGCTCCTACCCGAAACCATTGAGGAAGTTCCACATGCAGCAGGACGGAGAGGTCATCCACTTCGATAAGGGCACCCTGGCACTGATAAATGAGATTAAGCTGGCACTCGAGGGAAATGAGGTCGCCGCCAAGATTGACGCCATGAAAAGGATGCCAAGCTTTTTCTTAACACCAAGGCCCTTTCGCAACTTTTCATCACAATCGTCCACTGCGTACTTCCTTTTGAGGACCACACAATCCCTCCTTTACCTCGAGATAATCAACAAAATCGACTCCACCGGTTGCGTCCTACCGGAGATGATCCTCATATGTTAGAATCTTGCTTAAACACATGACAGACAAAACTCAAAATTCAGTCAAGCCTAAATTCAACATATTCAATAATCTGAACGACCCCTTGTCGAAACACATGACAGACAAAACAAAAAATTCAGCCAAGTCTGAATCTAGCGAATTCGATAATCCGAACGACCACTTGCCGAAACACATGACAGACAAAACTCAAATTTCAGCCAAGCCTGAATTTTGATTTTTCCTATAGGCACTGTAGAAACTGCAGTCAAAAGACAAACACACTTGTCTACTTGTTGAAACACATAACAGACAAAACTCAAAATTCAACAAAGCCTGAGTTTTGTGTCTTCCTACAGGGATTGTAGAAACTAAGTAAAAACACAATCACAGTTGTCTACTTCTGTGCAGACTCCTCTGTATTATTACATGTAGGAACTTTCAGTCTACTTACAGACACTGCATGAATTGCAGCCAAAGCAATCAAAATTGTCAACTTTCTTGCAAATTCCCTGCAGCAGTACTAGTAGGAGTTTTTTGTCTACCTACAGAAACTGCAGGAACTGTAACTATTACTGTCTAGTTACCTGAAAACTCCCCGGCAACATTATCTGTAGGAACCTTCCGTCAACCTACAGACACTACAGTAACTGCAGTCAAAAGCCAACCACAGTAGAGGATAAAGACTTCAAGTTCTACTTCACAGAATCTTCCTCGCCATTATTTAATATTTTTAAATTCAAGTTGAACGTGAGTTTCAAACATGTTTCAACTTTAGGGGAAGTGTTAGAAATTATAATAGGAAATAATTTATTCCTATAAGAAGTTATGAGGAATAATCTTTTTCCTGAGATTAATGAGATATTTCTTTTCTTAATTTATATTTATTTCATTGGATTGGGAATTATGTGTTTTTCTATTTTGTGTTATTTTATATATCTCATAATAATTATTATGAATTGATTATTGGAGATATCAGATGATATATCTTTCCTTTCATATAATTTCTTTTTTATTATTTTTCATGTTATATAATTCTTATAATTATTATTTATATTCTCGTTCATGTCAATGAAATAATCAAGCATTTCACTTTATTTTGCATTATTCTTAATTTCAAGAGGGGGCTCTCTTTTTTTGTACACTCATTTTTTGAACTGCTAGATCTCTCCAAGATCAGCTCTCACACTTTTTTGATGCACAATATGCGATCATACAACTTTTTAAAGTTAAAATAACACTATTTTTTATATGATAATTACAAAGACAAATTTCATGTGTTCATAAATACATAGGAATTGGGTTTTATGTATGAATATTCTTTTTTTTTTCCCCCAAGCACATCCAAATACACACACACTCCATATGCAATGTCTTGAACCCGAAATTTCTTCGTTGAAATACAATACCGCCAACCATTAAGCCAAAGTGGCTTTCAATATCTATGTATGTACATGTGTATAATATATATATATATATATATACATATACATATACATATTATTTTTAATACAAATAATTAAAAAATAAATAAAACAAAATATACAAACTGCATTTACAACAAAATAAGCACCTATAATTAAGCTCATGAGAATCAAATTTAGAATTCTCCATTCTAAACTTGAAATCAGCTCCATTCAAACCCAAAACAGAAACTTTCCTAAAAAGGCCAAAACTGAACTCTTCAAAAATCAAAAAAAAAAAAAAAAAAAAAAAAGGAAAATTCATTCCAAACCACCATAAATACCCACCCATCACCTCCACACTCAATTCATTCTCCCTCACAAAATAACATAACAGAAATGAGTCCCTTCTACCTCCCCATCTTCCTCCTCCTCCTCCTCCACAAATCCTCCATAACCACCGCCAGCAGCATCATCGAACAAACCTGCAGGCGCTGCGCCCAAACCGATCCGGCCCTAAACTACAACCTATGCGTCGGCCTCCTCAACTCCAACCCTAACAGCCGCAATGCCGACCTCTCCGGTCTCGGAGTCATCTCCCTCAGCATCACCAGAGCCAAATCCATTCAAATTCAATCCACCATCCAAAACCTAATGAAATCCAACCCTAGCAGTAAATATGTCAGAGAATGCCTAACTGTTTGCCTGGAGCTCTACACTGACGCCACTTCTCTGCTAAGCGATTCTATGAGGGCGATACAGTCGGGTCGTATCAGCGATGCGAGGACTTGGATCAGCGCGGCGATGGATGCTGGGACGACGTGTGCGGATGGGTTTGAAGAAAGGGGGTTGGTATCTCCTTTGAAGAAACGGAATGATGAATATCGGAGCAGAGTTCTTATTCCATTGGCCATAGCTGCGCTCTTGGATGGCAATTGATGATGCTCTGTATTTTGCCAATGTTCCACGCAATTTTATATTCTCTTTATTTATTTTTTTTTTCCAGTATAATGGCTGAATGAAAGGCCCAAGTTGAGAAAATAAGATAATCAATGAATATATATACATATAAGTGACTCTTTAGTTGTCATCTGCAAAGTCAGTTCTAAGTTCCCTGAAGTGAGGGGTTTGAGCCTGCCTATGTGCGAATAAGTCGAGTGATTAGACAAATGAAATTGGTTGGAGACTCATGTCATTGCCTCTGGCCAATCTTTCAATATATATATATATATAGATATCATTTGGGACTTGAAATTTGCATGTACTGTTGCTAACATGCATCTAATAAAATTGAAAGTTCTCTAAGCTTTGTTATCATCAAATATGCATTTAAGACAAATAAATTATCTTCGGTTATAATTTTATGGGCATTAATAGACATGAATGTGATTTATTTATGTGTATGTGAACAACAAAAGCTCATCAATAAATGTGAACAATATTAAATTTTATTTGCCATATAGTTTTTTTTTTTGTATAAATAATTTGTAAAATGACAACAAAATAGAAATTTTCTTGTCCTTTATTTTTAAGTTGGACATTAAATCATTAAATTAGATTAATTAGTGCTTGATATACAAGCTAATCTTATCTTCTATCATGATAAGTTAGGAAAAAAACTTTTAATATGAGGAGACTTTTAACAATGTGAAGTGAGTTTTCATTAGCACTGAATGTGGATATCGAAGATGATAAACCTAACTCACTTGTAGGGCTAGAATGAAATGATAAAATTTAGCATACCTTCTATTTACTTCCACTTTTGCAATAATATATAATTGGTTTATCCTTATTCCAGGATTAGGAACAGAATCAAACCAAGCACAGTTGAATAGGAATACACCCTTCAATAGAGCCTGAATAAAATAATTCAACAACTTCTTCGAGAATCTTATGATAATCTATCTTGTCGATTGATTTATCATTTAATTTGACACGAATAACATAGTTAAAAGACTTTTTTTCCTTCGGACCAGGACCTCGCATGAAACCTATACCCATTTACATCATAAATTTGCCAAATTTTCATGATACACATAGGTCCCCAAGCAAAATCAATCAACCATCAATCTGTCACTCATTTCCTCCTATCATGAATCTGTTAATACATACATAAGAAATCTTGTGTTAATGAAAAATCGCATGTCATATGAGAAATGAATCCGTCAATTTTAACTCACATGAGTTGTAAACCTCTTGGGGAAGTTTTCTCGATCTTTTTGCTAGTGTCATCGTCTTCAACTAAATTTAAAATTTCCACGAATAAACTATTCACACATTAAAATAACATTGAAATAGCTAATCATGATATTTTCTAGATAAATGAGTGAAAAATTATAATAAAAAAAATGTCTTACTTAAAAAGGGGTTGTGCTTCATCACAATTGAGAAGAACATAAAATGTCACTACTCGAAGCTTTTGATCATTAAGGTAACGTAATATTCACCTCGCCGATACATCACCTAACTGCTGGAAAATAGAATGGGTTGATGGTGGCACAAAAACCCATTGTTTCTTTTGTGGATTTTTCTTCCCCGAAATAGTAGGAGCAGATTGTCGTTATCTCTTACAGTAAATATACTTCATATATTGATCCTTCTGATTGGGTCTTATTCTTCACAGTTCTCTTCAGTTTATTCAAAAATCTAAAAAATAAATATTGTTTAGCACAAATTAGCCATATTTTTTTTTATAAATGAGTGATTAAATTTCTAGTCTCCAAATAATTACCTTTCAAACAGAAATATTAATGAATTTTAAGTGTAGGTGGGTAAGTTGGCTGCCCATTTTAAGCAGACTTCTTTTATGCTCTTATTTTATTAGTATAAAAATTATCACTTTTTAACAAAATGAACAACTCAAGTAATAAATTGTAATTTCTAAAATATAAATCCTATATAGAGTAGTTGGAGTGCTATCAAGTGTCTCGGAATATTAGTACTTCTTATTCTTTCACCTTTGGCATAAAAAAAACTATTCTAATTTTATGTATCACGGTTGATTTTCTATAGCACTAATGAAATCAATAGAAACACCAACCACTACTTTAAAATAGAGTGTGCTCAAGGAAAAATTATTGCATACGGACATTGCATGCAGGATACCGATCTACACCGTAGATCATGGTGATCCACGTTGATGATGTGTTTCGGTAGGCTCCACTTTAAATTTATTTTATTTTTTTTTAAAACAAAAAAAAAATTGATTGCATCTTCACCGTAGATCACCGTGATCTACAGTGTAGATCAGACACCGTATGCATCTCTGCATGCGGTGTCCGTATGCAATAATTTTTTCGTTCTTAAGGGGATCACTTCTTCTTAAATATAATGAACAATAAGGGCCTGATTCTATAAGAAATAGGTAGCCCTAAATAAAATAAACCCTGCTTTATCAAAATTAGATAAGAAAAATTCTCTGATTTATACAAATTCATAAAATCTGAAATTTTAACTTACTGATTGAATATATTATAAAATATATTTTTTTAATACAAAAGAGGCTTAAGAGGAGCAGTTATGAGATCACGACCAGATCCAAAAAATGGGCTAATTTGGTAAGCATGTTAGTCCAATATCATGCTACACTAATAAATGGGCTTATAACTCTAATAAAAGGGCATATTACGGGTATCAATTCAATGGCCCATGCACTGTCACATAATACCGAATTTACCCCTTCAGGTAGTTAGTTGTACGGCGACTAGCTTCCGATCGCATAGCCTTACGCCATACCTTGACCATCGTTTGAGTGGTTGATCCGGCAGCCTGAAATTCAAGGAAAGCTGCCCGCGACACAATTTTGTACCCAGACTCAAAGGCTGCTGTAGCCACGGGTTCTTGGTGGGTTTAAGAAAGCCGGTCCTTGGGTATTTTTATATATTTTGCCGTCAAGGGAAAACACGTCAAATGGCGGCGACTTTGAAACGTGTTGCGGAAAAAAGTGACGCTCTAGAAACGCCTATCGTCAGCGAGGAGATCCGCTGGAATTATTTTGAAGTTCTCTTGATGGAAAATTTCCATACATACCCTTCATTTCTTATGTATTTATAACTCCAATTTTTACGTGCATATCACTTTACCAATGCAAAAAAAATGTGTTTTATATTTTGAACATTTTGTTGCGATCACACACACGAAAATTATTGCATATGGATACCGTGCGGTGTCCGATCCTGACCGTATATTACGGTGATCTACGGTCATAATGTATTTCTGTGGACCCCATTTAAAAATAAATAAAAAAAATCAAAATACATCATGACCGTGATCTACGGTCAGCATAGGGCACCGCATGCATCTCTGCATGTGGTGTCCGTATGCGATAATTTTTCCCCACACACACACATGTGATACACCTACAACAAGTTTCCATTATCGAGAGCAGAACATTGCTAAACTCATATATACATATATATACACAAATGATACACATACAACCACACATGCAACATATATATATACACATACGACCACCGTTGAACTCCGCTGGCCGCCCCCATCTCTCTGTCATTGGCGAACTCTATTCTGTAACGACTCATCTTCGAATGTTGTGTAAGAAAGTATCATGAATACGGTATAACGAAGTACCTTGAATACGTTGTAACGAAGTATTTTAAATATGATGTGATGTATAGTGTCGTATTACAAATATGATAATAACTTCTAGCAACAACTATTTACAACTGTGGTAATCAGAATACGATCACTTTGACCTTGTGAATCTTCTAGCACACAACACTTATAATACACTTAAAATTTTTATAACTTCTTTTTAAATTTAAGAGAATATATTACTTCTAAATTTATTATATTTATTTAATGGTATATTTCGAAATAAAAACTATATAAATTAAAATATTTTTAATTATTTATTCATATTGAGCCTTGTTAACTTTATTTTATCTTTATATTTACCAAGTAATATATTCGTAAGAACAAAAAGATTATTCTTATCATTTAATATTAATTAGAAGTTTTATATTTTTAGATAAATATTTCTATTTCTTAATTAAAAACCTAATAAAATAAAATAAAAATAACCTTATACAAAAGTATCAAATTTTAAAATATTTTAAAAAGTTAAATAAATTACTCATAAATATGAAAGATGTGTATGATGCGCAAACACTTTTACTAAGTTGTTGTGAAGTGTCAAATACTTTCAAACATCAACAATCACCAGACATGCCCCGGATAAGCGTCAGACACTCTCTTGACCTGTCTAATTTAAAAAAATATTAAAAATAAAAAATATATATAAATTACTAAATTAAAAAATTAAAAATTAAAAAATATATATTTAATTTGTTAATCATCTAAGGTATATATTTATAAGTAAATTTTATAAAAAAATATTTTATATTTAAAAATTTAACCTATATGTTCAACTTATTCGTCGATTTCTATTCTCTTTATTGATACCTTAGTTTTTGAAAGAAATTTGATATGTTAAAACTTTTGCATTGTTGTTACTTGTATTTTTGTATTTTATGTGATGATACTCCACATTTAGGTAGGCTTTATATTATTTTTGAGAGTTGTGGCAAAAAAGGGGATGATCAGAATCAAAATGGATCAAATCAAGATTACTAATGCAAAATAGTGTTCTAGTGTTCAGGCGTGAGAACCGTCCACCTTGGAGTCAAAAAATAGTGAGCTTAGAAAGCCGACACCGGATAGCGTCGGGGTGTTGTACTCAGAGCGCTAGGGCGCCAACTTATGGTGTTTAGGCACTGGACTTTGGAAAAGCTTTCCCGAGTGCTTGAAAACCCGACGATGGTTTTGTAGCGTCCATCGTCGGGGCACCAGAACTGCAGTGCCTAGGCGTTGCGACACTATCGCTTAGGTGTTGTAGTAGGAAAATTGGAGCGTTGCGATGCTACATATGGGCGCCTCTGCACTAGAACCCGATTTTTGGAAGTTTGGTGTAGTTCTAACTTTGGTTAGTTGGGAGAAGATATGAATAGTTTGAAGACAATTTTGGAGGGCTTTTTTTCACCATTTTTCTTCTATCATTTCCAAGAGAAGAATTGAGGAAAAGGCTTGTAAAGATCAATCAAGTTGAGAGAAGTGAGAATTCGAGATATTTTTTTGTGATGGAATACTTGTAATTTCAACTTCTCGTGATTAAAGGAAGGGAGATAAGTTATGAAGTTTTATTTTGTAATTGCTTTCATTTTTTTTTTGTAAGACTTATGTATTGTTATTTTCTGTGATTGAATACTTGAATGTGAAAGTTTCTATATAGACTTGTGTTGACAAATGATGGATGATGATTAACTTGTTTCACTTCATTTACATTTCATTTTGGCCAACTGGGTGTTAATATTTATCGTGAGTTACAAATCTCGAAAGAATTGGTAATTGAATCTATAGAGTTAATCACATTAATTTGGTGGAATAATAATATATCTACTAAATTAATGCCTACTTTTAGGGAGATATTTATGCATGGGTTAAAGGTTGGTATTAGAGAACCAATCTAATTTTTAGCCACTTTTTCTCATTCCACCAGAAGGGGTTAAGGAAAGTAATAATCCATGTTTGTCATCCATATGTTCATTCAACTTTCTCATTCATTGACTTATCTAACCATTGCAACGGAGGTCTTCTCGAATACTTGAAGAACTTTTTGCTTTCTTTGTTGACAACTTAAGATTTTCTTTTACGACTTAAATTAAATCAACATTTCAAGCTAGGATCGACATTTATAGGTTAGAGATTTTCTTAATTAGATTAATGACAACCAGAACTAATCCCGATATTAATGATATGCCACGTATACTTGCGTGAGCCGCCAGCACCTGATATGTGTAATCCTATTATATATTTTTATTTTTTATATTATTTTCAATATATATATATATATATATATATATATATATATATATATATATATAGTGATGTCAATTTCCAATATTTTTAATAATAAAAGTGTTTTGTGTTCGTGTCTTGTAGTAAACGTGTCACTGTGTACGTATCAGTGTAACATTTAAAGATCATATAAAAAATCAATTATTTTACAATTATAATTAAAAAGTTAACTATAACTTTTATTTGCATATTTTATTGTTGAATCGGGATCTATTATGTGAATCACATATAAGGAATAGAGTGTAGAATAAGAGAAAAAGAGAGAAAGAAAACACAAGATTGCACAATAATGAACATTAGAATGAGGGAATTGTGGATGATTACTTTTGATTGGTCTTTACTGAAGAAATGAACCCCCATTTATATGAGGGGGTACAATATACATAATTACCTACTTACCCCTAATTTATGGAGGTGTTATAAGGTATTTTAGATATTTACATAAATGATTCTATGACTCGACTATCATTGCATTTGGTCGACTAAAATCAACGCGCATTGGTTCGATGATACCAGTTTTTCCAAATACGCTAAGTTGAGAAGTTGGTCAGCTTCTAATGATCTTTGATTTGGTCGAACTTGGATCGATTGGTTTTGTTCCATCGGTCGATTTGGTGCCTTCATCGGCTTGGTTCCACCGCTAGACTTAGTTCTGTCTTCAACCACTCAAAATCAGGAGCTTATGTCACCAAAATGAGACTAAGCTATCGGGCAGATGGTTATTGATCGTAATCCTATAGGTATCTCGCCCATTGACAAAAAGGTGCTTTAGGGTGCTTGTGGTGTACATCATTGAAGAACCCCTCTGTCTCCTGATGAAGAGTCTCGAGGGTTGACGATATTAGGGCAAAAGCTGGGTTGATGCCTTCTCTTGGCTTGATGCCTCATCCTTTGATCTTATGGTAATTGGACTTCTTGTCTTTCTGCTGAATTTTCTCGAGATTCGTGTTGTTGCATTTTCTGATGAACATTTCATTAAATTTTTTCATACAAATTTTTATTTTAAAAACAACTAACCAAAAACTCCCAGAAAATTCTTCACCAACCCCCATATCAGGGAAAATATTTGCATACATAAGATGTACACAGCTCTGCGTACATCAGGGGTTATTCATGGGGTACAATGGGGTTATATCTGGGTTATACCCTCTTGTAACCTCCGATATAACCCTGAATATAAATCTCCTGTACCCCCAGAATAACCTCTGATGTACGCAGCGCTGCGTACATCTTATGTACGCAAATATTTCTCCCATATCGAACATCGAAATAATTCTTAAATACAATTGTTTTAAAAACTTCACCATATTTCTATAATTGCACAAAAATATCATTTTAAATGCGCGGTCGGGTGCAATTATTATTATATCTTAAAAATCAATCTTTTCTCAAAACCCAAAAATACCCTCAGCAGCCCCCGGGGCTCTGTTCTCAGGTCCGAATATTTAACTTGAATTTACCTATTTACCCCTATAGTTTTAATTATAGTCAGCAGTGCAATACCCGACAGCAGGTACCGAAAATTCTTTTCCGTTGAGCTATTTCCCCCCCCCCCCCCCCCCCCCCTCAACTTCTTCTCCTTCCCTGCGATTCCATTGGGAGTGTAGGGTTTCTTCGCTATGGAAAGTTTGATTGGCCTCGTGAACAGGATCCAGCGAGCGTGCACGGTGCTCGGCGACTTCGGTGGCGAAGGAGCCGCCGCACTGCCTGCCCTCTGGGACGCGCTTCCTTCTGTTGCCGTTGTTGGGGGGCAGAGCTCCGGCAAGTCTTCAGTGCTTGAGAGCGTTGTTGGCCGCGATTTTCTTCCGCGAGGATCGGGTAATGACTGGATATCTGGAGCTTGATTGTTTTGCTTTTTGTTTTGTTTTTTTTACTTGTTTACTAATGGGCTTCTTGTTGGGGGAGAAGGGATTGTGACGAGGCGGCCGCTTGTGTTGCAGCTTCACCAAATTGAGGAGGGGCAGCCTGAATATGCGGAGTTTCTTCATATACCGGATAGGAGGTTCACCGACTATTGTAAGTGATTTCTTTGTATTCAGTTTTTTTTTTCTTCTTTTAATTTCTCTCTAGATTCATCGACCATTGCTGTTAATTGCACGTTTTTTATGGTTATTTTGCACTTTTCTTGTGATTTGCCTTGCTTAAATGAGGCCCAATATTTGATTCCAACGGTATAAATAATTCAGAAAGCGCTGACAGCGTGAATTATTAGAAACTCGGATGATAGTTTTCCCACGTTGTTGGGCGAAATGGTTTGAAATTGGTCTACATGATTTTTTTTTTTTTGCATTTTAATTCTTTTTTTCTATTATTCATTAACAGAAATGGTTGAATTTAACGGAAAGCATTTTGTATCAAGTGGAAATTTGGATTTGTTTTAATTGTTTGCTTTAAATGCGCTAAAACTTTTTTGTTTATGATGAGTTTTTTCTTCTTTTCTTTTCCTTGTTGTTTAGCAATTAGAAAAATAATTTGAACAAGATTTTTACAGAATCTATATAGGATGTATATCTTAGCTTTCAAAATCATGCATATTGTGTGTATCTTGGTTTATATCAGTGTGAAAATTTATCATATTGTTTTTCCCCTGCTTTCATTGGTTCCTTCCTCTTTTATTTGTCTTTAACAAACCCATTTTCCAAATTCAGCTCTTGTGCGCAAGGAGATTCAAGATGAAACTGAAAGGTTGACAGGGAAAACAAAACAAATTTCACCTGTTCCCATTCATCTCAGTATTTATTCGCCACATGGTATGTGCTTCTATCTTGTATATGTTGCTCAGAAAATGGAAATCGGATTAATGCAACATGTGGCCAACCCACAGTTAATTTTGAGATTTTTCTATATATGTAATAAAGTTGTAATTGTTTTTTTTATAGATTATGCAATTTCATAATTTTACCCCATGGTTTTTGTTCAGTACTTGAAAAAAAAAAAAAGAATAAACAAGAATAAACATTAAATGATTTTGCTTTTGCCCACCTTAAAACATAAAACTACTTCCACCTCTGCTTGTCTATAGTTTAGGCAATTTAATAATATTGCCCCCTGCATACATTTATTTGTTCATTACTTAGAAAAAGTTAAACATTTGGTGATTTCGCTCACCTTAAAACTTAAAACTACTTCCACCTCTGGTTGTGGTCTTATCTTAATTGGTATCCTGCTATTTGTTCGATATCATGGTTCTCTTTTTATAGTGGCAGAGAGTTTCTTATTCACTTGTATTGGCAAAAACTATTTATTTTTATGATCTATTGGAATAGTTCATATTTCTTTTTAGTTGATTAAAAATTCATTTTACACAGTGTAGGCAATGTGCCTGTTAAGCTATATGAAAGTTGGCTAATTTATCTGCAGCTCATTGAACATGTTAAAACTCAGAATAATGTGGTGGAATACACACCTTTTCATTGATATGAATGTGGTTATAAATAACCCTTACAATAATCTTGTAATAGGAAAAATAATAAAAGGTAAATGATATGAAAGGAAGGGTATAACACTTAGTATCTCCAATAATTAATTCGCATTAATTATTAGGAGATATAGGAAACAACATAAAATAGGGAAATAAATATCTCATTAATTCTAAGGAAATAATTTATTTACAAGAATAAATTATTTCCTAACATAACTCTAATTCTAAGGAAATAATTTATTTACAAGAATAAATTATTTCCTAACATAACTCTAATTCTAAGGAAATAATTTATTTATAAGAATAAATTATTTCCTATCATAACTCCTAACAGCTCTTTATCCTCGATCATCACGACACCATCATGCCATTTGTAAGACGAATCAATGCCACCGATCGAAAGGTCTACGCCACCCGAACGCTGCTCTTCCTCAACAATGACAGCACCCTGAAACCCCTCGCTATTGAGCTTAGCCTCCCCCATCCAGGTGGCGATACTTTTGGCGCCATAAGCACTGTATACACGCCCATGACTTCCGGTGTTGAAGGCTCAATTTGGTCGCTTGCCAAAGCCTATGTCATCATCAATGACTCCTGCGTTCATCAGCTTATTAGCCACTGGTATTTGTTCATCAAATAATCAAACATAAGTTTAAGAATTGTTTACATTGTAGCTAGAATCCTTCGTGGCAGGCTGCGCACTCACGCAGTGATGGAACCCTTCGTGATCGCCACAAACCGCCACCTGAGCGCGATGCACCCCATCAGTAAGCTCCTTTTGCCACACTACCGCGACACCATGAACATAAACGCTCTCGCTCGACAAAGCCTCATCAATGCCGGCGGCCTACTCGAGTTCATCATTTTTCCTTCCAAGTACACTATGGAAATGTCCTCCTCTGTTTACAAAAGCTGGAATTTTGTCGAGCAGGGCCTTCCATCCGATCTCCTCAAGCGAGGAATGGCGGGGGGCAGCCAACCCCCAACCGACCAC